GGTACCCCCGGGGCATCCGCGGGAGCACCCCAGGGTGGCAGAGATCCCGCTGCCCTGCCAGGCTGTTGTGGTCGAGGGTTATAAACCACCGAGGCAAATGAGACCACCCCCGGGAGGGTCGAGGCTGCTGTGAATCGCTGTGCTCACAAGCGCGTGCACCAGCGGTGCGACCAGAGCCGGCTCCGCTCTCGCCGTGCCGGTAACGCCGTTGGGAGGACATGCCAGCGGCCACTGCCCGGCTGCTCACGTGCTTGTTGATGTTTGAGATTTGCTTCCCAACAGGGCTGGGCGTTATTGTGAGGAGCAGCCGGCAGCAGCGTTGCAGGTGGCAGAGGATGCAGTGCCACGCGGACAGCACGCAGGCAGGAGACAGGCCGGCGGCAGAGCAGGACGAAGCCCCTCTGCTTGCCGAGCAGCCGTCCTCCCACACAGGTACGTCCACTCGCTGGGGAGGCTGATGTGCTGCCTCAGCAGGGACTGGCAGTCAGCAACTTCAGGCTTCGGCACGTCCCCTCCATCCTTGGGCAAGTCTCCTCGCCTTCCCGCCGCTCCGTTCTCCTTCTGGAGATGCAAACTGCCTGGCCACGAGGATCTGTAGGAGGGGGCAAGGGTTAACCCACAGCCTCTCCCACCAGCCCTGGTTTGTGGGCGCTCTCCCTCCGCAGGGCTCTGCTCGGCTCGCTGTGGCCTGGCCCTGGTCCTGCACGTTGCTCTCTTCGTGGCGTACGCGCTCCGGGTCAGCCTCAGCATCGCCATCGTCGCCATGACTAACAGCAGCCAGCCCCACGGCTGCCCCGGCAGCGCTCCCCGTGGCTCCTACCCAGGATTTGCTCAGGACGTAAGTAGAAAGCAGGCCCAGATAACTGAAAGACGCTTCCCGGGCTCATCCAGTCTTGCTCTTGCTTGAGGACAGACTTGGAAGCAGCAGAGAAAACCCTTAAGGACGAGATGGGTGAAGGAGCGAGAGCTCAGTTTGCTGCACTCAGGGCTGCGCTTCCTGGTTGCTTTTCCGCTTCCGGGAGAGTCTGTGCCTGGAAAACAGGGATCTCTGTCTGACAGAGACGTGTTCTGTCTCCTCCAGGCCCCCGTGTACAACTGGAGCGCTGAGACTCAAGGAATCATCCTCAGTTCTTTCTTCTACGGCTACGGCTTCACGCAGGCGCTGGGCGGGTACAGCTCGGGGCTGCTCGGGGGGAAACTCGTGGCTGGAGGTGCTGCTGGGCTACAAAACCCGCTCTGGTCAGCCCTGGGTGCGCTCCCCGTGTCCCCTCGCTCCACGCTCCCTGTTACCTTTGCAGGGAGTGATATTTCCAGCTCAGTACACGCTCTGGGCAAAATGGGCCCCTCCGCTGGAACGCAGCAGGCTCATGAACATCGCTGATGCTGGTAAGGCACAAGGACTTTCCCCTACCACCAATTCAGTAACTGCAGGACCTCCCCTCACCCCCTTCTTTCCAAGCCAGTCCTTGTAGCAGCCTCAAGTTCAAAGCTGTGGGTCCTTGGCAAAGAAGTGTTAGCAGCGTTCGGCCTTTCCACCGCTCCTCCTCCCACCCTGTGTCTTCTCTGTCGCTTCGGCTCAGGTCATCTTGAGACGGGAGAGGGAACCCAGACACTGAAGGGAGCAAACCAGGATACAAGGGTGCTTGTTTGCACAGGCCCTTCATTTGTGCCACCACATTTTCCCAGCACAAATCAGGCTGGAGGCTGTAGGTCTGTCCCACTCACTGCTGGTCACAAAAATCCCACTAAAATGACTCTTCTGGTGCACCCTCTTCTAGGATGCACTTTTGGGACTTTCTTTGCTCTCCTTGTGGCTGGGATCATCTGCCAGAGTCTGGGGTGGCCTTTTGTCTTCTACATCTTTGGTGAGTAATGGCCCATCATGTCCCTCTACTCCAACCCCGCTGCAGAGCTCCCAGAGCTTCTCCGTTGGAGCCCTGTGGGACCAGTTCCTTCCTTACTACACAGTCCCACACAGAGCTCTGGCCTCTCCTCTCGCCCGCCAGGCCATGACGAAGCCATTTTGCTGGGGTACTTTCAGGGAAAGTGCCTTTGCTGAATGTTTCATGCCATCAACTCGGCCCCTTCCACTGTGAGCAATGGGTTGAGGGGAGTTTGTCCCTTTCCATCTTCCTGCACTCACCATTTCTCTAGCACCAGCCTCCATCCCGCTGGCTCCCAGCTCTGCTGCAGCTCGCCGTAAGAGGAGCTGGCACTGAGAGCCCCGCTCCTCGCAGGCGGCGTTGGCTGTGCCTGGTGCCTCTGCTGGTTCCTCCTCGTGTACGAGGACCCTGCACGTCACCCGTGGATCAGTGCCAGGGAGCAGGAGTACATCGTGTCGTCGCTGGCTCACCAGGTACGCACAAACCTTTTAACCACGACTGACCACGCTGCAGACACCGTGGCAAAGGGACTGCTCTGGGGCAGTTGAGCTGGGTTCCTTATGCAGCGGCCAGGCTTAGTCCCAGTCTTCTCAGCAGCGGGTGGAGAGGCCAAGGAAAGCCCAGACAGCTTGTCCAGGGGATGTGAGACAGGAACAGAGGCACTGGCTAATGTTTTATTCCTTCCAGGGCAGCTCTCATGGCCGCTCCCTCCCACTCGTGGCCATGGCTAAATCACTGCCGCTTTGGGGGATCACCATTGCCTGCTTCTGCACAGACTGGCTGTTCTACATGCTGCTGACCTCCATGCCCACGTTCATGAGCAACGTCCTGCATTTTGACCTCAGAGAGGTGAGTGCTGCTCTGCATCTGAGGCTGGTCCGTGCAACAGCGACAGGACTTGGTCCCTCTGTAGGCTGGGAACATGGGGGTTTCTCAGGGACATCTCTTCCTGAAGACCAGTGGGTCTGGGACCAAGGGAGCTGCAGTCTTGGAGCTCTTGGCTCTGCTTTGTGCCATGGATGTGACAATGCCTTGTTCCCTGCTCTGCAGAATGGGCTCCTCTCCTCCCTGCCTTACATTGGGAATGGGCTGGGGCACATTCTCTCTGGGCTGCTGGCTGATTTCCTCCTGGCCAAGCGAGTGCTCAGCACAGCAGCTGTCCGGAAGCTCTTCTCAGCACTCGGTAAGGACAAGCTTTCATCTGCCCTCCAGCCTTGCCAACATACCTTAGCACTTGTGTGGCCTGTTACAAAACATCCAATTTTCCTTCCAAGGGATGCTGCTCCCAGCTGTCTTCCTGGTGGCCGTGCCTTACATCGGCTGCAGTTCTACAGTTGTTGTGGTCCTTCTAACGCTGGCCTTGACAATAATCAGCATGACAGGGGCAGGCATCAATATTAACCACATCGATATAGCACCCAGGTGAGTGAGCCCTCCCTAGCTCTGTGTCCTTCCTGTTTCCAGTCCCCCAAGACTTCTGCAACTCCTACTCTCTCTTCCCTTATCTTCTGCAGCTGGTGGCATTGTAAGCTAAGGAGTAAAGCAAAGGCTTAAAATCCCCCCGGTCTCGCAGGGAAGATCCTAGCATTGCTCAGCACGACAGGCAGTATTCCTGCAGAAGAGGGAAGGGACTGGCAGCACCTACTCTTCTCCCTTCTTGTGACAGTTTCCTCTCTACCTCACTCAGGAAATCTTTGCTTCCTCCCCCCAGATATGCAGGGTTCCTGCTAGGAATCACAAATACCTTTGGCATAGTCGCAGGAATTATTGCTCCTACCGCAGTTGGACTTCTTGTCAGCCAGGTAATGTGGGGTCACAAAACACAAGCACATCCCTGGAAGAAAACACAGGTCTACTCTCAGAAATGGATTCCTTTCTTTGCACTGAATCAAAAATTACTCCAAGCCAACCCCCGCTCCCAACAAACATGTGATGTAGCACCCAGCAAGCCAGAGCTCTGGACCGTTTTGAGGACATGGGGATGACTCAGAAAGCAGGAAGAGCTCCACATGGGCCCCATCTGGATGTACTTAGAGATGGGGAGAGGGTCGAGGGAGTGGGGTGAGGGGGAAGCTCTGTGCCAGGCAGAAAAGCTTCCTGAATTCAGCACAGCACACAATGTTTCCAAAAATGCCAGCGCAGGAAATGCAAGAGGGGATCTGGCGTATGTCTTGAACTGAGCAAAGCTCTTCTGGTTTTGGTACTGGGAGCAAGCAGAGGATGGAGATGAGTTTAATGCCAGTGAAGTGGGTGGCAGTTGCTGGGTGATGACTGCATGGAGATAAAGGGATGGGTGATACCATCGTAATCTGTTCTTGGTCCCCAGGATCTCCAGACTGGCTGGAGGAATGCCTTCTTCATCTCTGCAGCCCTCAACCTGTTTGGCCTGATTTTCTACATAACTTTTGGCAGCGGGACCATCCAAGACTGGGCTAGGGAGGACACTGCTGTGCAATGAGAGCCATGAGCATGGGAAGGTACGCAAGGGAACGGGCTGCAAACGGGCATGGGTCAGGCAGGAGCCCCCTCTGCTGCCCTGCTCTCACCCAAGCAGCAAAGCCCAGCCGTGTGTTCCTGCCTGCTCCTGGAGCCTTTGCAGCATCCTCAGGCAATGGCTGTAGCTGTGCAGCCCTGCCTGCACTCTGACTCTCAAAGAGACCAGCACCTTCACCCAGCTCTGTCCACTTTCTGATCCCGATCTGCTGCCCTGGGAAGGCACCAGCCCTCTGACCCGCGTTGCCTGCTGTGCATTTAGCCCTGCCATCAGCCTTTGCCCACGGGAAGGAACGCTGCAGAGTGGACAGGTCCTAAATGGGATCCACGGAGAGCTGGTAAAGCTGTCAGCCAAACTCTGCAAGAAGCCTGTGGCTATTTCCAGCAAAGCTGTTTTTAGATGAAGTAAATCGATAATGAAGTAGTAGAGTAACGTTACTTTTTAATTAGTGACTTCTCACATCCTCTGCACAGACTCCTAACATTTTTTTTCACTTCTTAATGAGACAAGCTGATTATTCATTCATCCTTCATCCTCTTCTAGAAGCAAGTGGGGCAAAAAATAAGTGAGGGCATTAGAGAGTTCAACCTGGCAGCCCTGAGCACAGCCCCTGGGAGGCAGGGAAGGGGATAAGCAGGGAAAGCCTTGGGCTGGTGTCATCCTGACTGAGAGAGAACCTCAATGCAAGCATTCAGCTCAGGACATGGCCACTGAAAGAGATGTTTGGACCCAAAAAGGGGTCTGAATTCAGCTGCCCTCTCCCCTGAGAAGCCGTCTTCTGCTCTGCTCCCAGCTGAGCAGAGCCAGGGAGTGGGCTGCGACTCCTCCCTTGCTCCAGACTAGGTCAAAATGATGCAAAAAGAGGATCCAGATCCCAGGCAGAGCGCTGAAACCCACAAACGCTTCCCTGCAAGAGTGAAGTCAAATTGGAACATGTTCCCAGGTCTGGTGCAAGGAACTTGGGGCTGTGGGGGCAGGAGAAGCTCTGGGAGCCAGGCCTGAGTTAGCTATGCTCGATGCTGCTTGGGAGCGGAGAAGCTCCAACACCTTCTGGTGCGGCATCTCCCAACAAAACCGCTGTGGCTCATCCCCAGCCTCAGCAGCGGAGCAGGGGGCTCCTGGC